TAAAATGAGGACTTGAATCAGCTAGACATTTAAAGACATTTAATGGCTCTTCTCACACAGCACTACACTGTGTGAAGAACTGTTTCTGTAGCACAGTGGGAGGTCCCATGGTCCAGAGTTTATCTGTGGCAAATACAGTAAGCTTTCAGCCTTATGCTCCTCAACTATGCCGTGAGATGTTTGTTCTACACTGAAGTGGAACTGTAAAACAGCTAGTGTGAAACACTTTTGTTCCACCTAAGGCTAGCAAGGCTAAAATAAAGAACGCAAATTCTCTTGAACAAAGGAACCTTCAAGGAAATAGAATTTCAGACAGCGTCCTGATAGCGATCTGTCGTAACAAAAAGACATTTAAAAGTTAAAACCTCATCCTGTTCTGCCCTGTTGGCCTGTACACTGTCCACAACTTCCACCACACATTTCTCAACACACATTCCTAAACTGTTTTGGCTTGATAATGAGGGCAAACCACATTTTGTTTTGTTGCAGCCCCTTTGTAAAATAAATAAAATTGTGAAATTTAGAGCCGTTAGGTTCCTGTGTGTTCACCAAAAAGCAAAACAAGGATGTAAAATGATGAAGAAACCTGTCCTTAGTATACGAGCTTGTGCAACAGTAGCACTTTGCAAAATGACTCTTCATAGATCAAAGTAAAAGATCAAATTCTTTCAAGTATCAGTTTTGCCACACACATGTTGTGACTCCCCCAAGGACCAGTCAGTCAATGTATATTAATATAATGGCATGTTTAATTGGTTACAAAGACTGCAACTGCTCCCCTGAGATATTTCCCCCGGATTCCATAAAAATAGGCATCCATTTTCCACTTTTCTCCAACCTGAAATGTTTAAATGAAGGGCAACCTTGAATATGCAGCCTCTTTTGAGTTGTATTCATGACCACAAATCTAAGATGAATTATTTTTAGGAGTGTTTTCATAGTCAATCTGCCTCACACCTACCATTAGTCTATTGAAGGCACTATAGCTACAAGTGAACATTTGTTCTAAAGGAATGCAGAGTATGCAGGAGAGTGGGGGGATGGGAGGGGGACAGCAGCCCGGCTGTGTGTGGAGGACTCCTTTTTCATTCTGATTAAAACCATTAACCAAGCTGTCTGCTGCAAAGCAATACACACCCAAATGAAAATTTCAGAATAAAGAAAACATCCTGACATTTTTATTGCATTTCTCTTTTATTATATTGGCCATGAGATGCTGTACAGCTACTAGTCTCGTACCATTACTATCAAATGCTTGTAATGTTGACATCAGGGGAATGTAAGCCCTGTGTGTGACACGAGTTAAGAGCAAAAGACATATTCCAACATAAGAAAAAGCTTGATTTCACTGTTAACGATTACATACTGAACCCACAAGAATTTCCAGAGTGGTTTGATGCATCATTATATGATTTTAGATTTTTTGACAGTAGATATTTGCGGGAACTGGAAGTTTTAAAGGTCCATTTTGTGAGTACAAGCTGTGAGCTCACAGCCAAGGTCCAGCTGTTTTTCTCTATGGTCTCCCCCTTCCTCTTGATTCAATCCAAATAGGCAATTTATGCTAAAGAAGAAAATATCTGCTACTTCAAGAAAATAATGATGATTTATGCTACACTACCTGCTGACAAATGTATTATTTACATTATTTAGGGTGACTTTAACTGAAATGTTATGGTTAAACAATCAAATTACATTTTGAGTTTGATGCAGAGTGGTGAAAGGTTAAGGTTGGGGACGGGGACAACCGTCACCTACACAGTCAAAACTCCCACAGCCACACATTCTTTTCTTGGGTTACATTCTTCGACATTATGACTAGTGTTGCAACACTTTTTGCTAGCAGTGTGACTGAAGTCCTAGTTATGAGAGAAAGTGTAAATCTACACCACAATCTAACCCTGGGGAATCTTTAAGTGAGAAGCTGTGGGTGTGAACGTGGTGGGTCTAGTTAACTCAAGCTTACGGTCACTGATGGAGTCCCCCTGTGGGCTGGTGGGTGCCCTGACTTAAAAAAGAAGCATTTTCCAAGCTAAACCATCTAGGGTTTCTCTGTATAAGGAGCTACGAGACACACACTGAGGGAAACCTGCCCCTTTGCAACGGGAATACAAACCTGCCAGGTCACAACAGGACGCATGACTTTCAGCAAAAAAGTACTGTCGGTTTCACACAGTACTCCAGTGACGGACCTTTCCAAATATGAAAAGAATAACATAAGAGCTGGCATGTGCCTCGCTAACCTCCTCCCCACTTCCCTCACGACCTTGTTCCTGCAGCTTTTCCTCAACTATATGGAGACTTGTTGTTGTCAGGTTGTTAATCTTTTCAAGCAAAAAGCTAACACATGCTGCTAATCACACAACTATAACAGTGTGAGCAGAGAAGTAATAAAGTGTAACCCTGCCTTAACTTAATTGCCAAACATTTTTGACAATATCTAAGTAAACAGGATTTAATAAAGAGGAAGCATCGTGTGTGTTCAACTGGAGTTGAATTTTTATTTCACACATTGAAAATCCCTTTAAGGGAGTGAAGTGAATTGTATGCACCATTATTATGCACATACTGATACACAAGCTGATATGTTAAGATTATAAATGAACCATTACATAGATTGCCATGAGGCATTGTGGACTAACACGTGTTAGGGTTAGGGTTAGTTTACTTTAAACTGTGGATGACAGAAACATTATGGTTATTGAAATATTTATTTATAAGGCTAAAAGGCCATAACGTTTTTTTTTACTTTGGGCACGGAGGTCATAAAAAACTCCTTGCTACAAGAAAAACATTCAAAAAGGTGATAATCAGCTACTGCCAGGATTGCCCAGATGTACAGTATATGGGGCTACTGAAAACTGCTCAAAAGCTCAAAACAGTCAGTATCTTTATCAAATTCCATTTTTTGTTTTCCTGCTTTACAGCTTTAAAGGAAAGCGGTTGATGTTTGATTTTTGGTTTGCTCTTATTGGCAGTCTCAGATCACAGATTTAAAGTCAGGACGGCTGATGACAAAATACATCTGAATTAAACTGTGACCATTTTTTACCACTCTGTTACTAATTAGTAATGAAAATGACTCTGTTTACTTCTGACTGGACAGCAAACCACATTACAGGAGCAGCATCTTCCATTACTTTTTCTACCATCTGACCTCTTGCGTCAGTATGTCGAGGAAAAAATAATAACAAAAATAAAACAATAATCCAAATGACAAATGCCTGAATGTCATTATAGGGTCATATGGTATGATTTCATACCCACCTGCTGAATAAGAGCCGTTGTTAACTGGGAGGAAAATACCCCAAATGTTTTTGTGATGGCTCAGAACAACACTCAGCACAACGCAAGCCAAAGCTCACTCAAAGAGGCCTCACTCCTCCAGCCAAAGGAATGGCTAAACAACTCACTCCTACTGCCAGACCTGCAGTTGGACCCCAGCATGAGTGTGTGTGTGTAGGTGTGTGTCTTTTAGCAGAACGGTAGGAGTCGTAGTATTTATAACAGTGGCCGTCTCATGTAATTGATTCCACAGAGGAAAATTCAGTGAAACAGCGTAATACAGTTCATCAAATTTAGAGGCCTGCTCACAATGACAAGATATAATATATTGCTCTTATACAATCCTAAACATATAATAATTATTAGTTAATTAATTGCTAATAAAAAGTAAATTAAAAATCTTTAGGTTTCTTAACTGGATAAAACGAGCAATTTTGTGCTGTCACTTGGAACTTGAGATGCTTCATTTATTAAAGATTTTTTTTAACAATTTATGGAGTTAATGACAAATAAATGCAAAAAAAAACACAGATTAACTGACAAAGACGAATAATATATAACGTACAGTAAGTAACTATCAGCGTGTATGCTCCTGGGAAGATTTGTTTATGAGCATTTGTGTGGGTTGAGTGTTTGTGAGTGTGTCTACAAACAAGAGCAAACCCATCAAGACCAAGTGAGAAAAACAGAAAGAAAGTAAGTAACCTGCGTCTGCTCTGGTGTCTGTGTGTGTGTGTGGGTGGGTGTGTGTGTGTGGGTGGGTGTGTGACACTAACAACGCTGCGAGCGCTCCAGCATGTTAGCAGTGAGGCTGTTATTACACTATAATCTGACACTCCACAGGTGGTTCTGGCTGTCTGTAATGATGGCCAACTTTGGGCTTTAGTTATCTATCTGTAACATCAAAACAACACACACAGCCTTCAGGACATTTAATCCAAAACATTTCACAGTGCCACGAGTGCAACTGTATTGTCTGGGTGTTGGCACAGAAGATGTGATATATATACCTGCGAGTCAAAGAAACATATTCACTGCTACCACTGTTTAAAAAGCTGTAGGTGTAGGTGTGATAGCAACTGTGGACAGCTGGCTAAACAAAGACATCATTACATCTCGTCAATACATTCCCAGTGTATCTACAACCAAATGTGCTGGCAGAGAACTTTAGCTACCTACAGCATCAGGTTTTAATGTCAGCATCTCAGTCCAAAGAGCAAGGGTTCCTTTCTAAATAAATGGTCAGCAATTACACAACGATAGAGGAGGAGATAGAGATACGCTCTCCATAGACAGTAGCCTCTTTAGACCAGAATGCAATGCACCTAATAGACCTTTTCCACTTGAGTAAGTCCTTTACTTAAAATCAATGTATCATGCTATGCATGTTTCCTTTTCAACCACCCCCTGAATGCAGCACATTCCCCACCACCATCTGGAGTTTGTTGAATGTTGAATTATCTAGAATGCCAAAGAAATCTGAATTAGAAGCAGAATTAGAAGTAGGCAAGTGGAAAGTGACGCACAAAGAAAATGTAATTAAAACACTAAAATACGACACAGAGACTGCACTGAGCGCAACACTGGTTACAGGTAACAAGAATCCGGAGGTGGATTTTCTTTCTTCAACTACGTCCTTTTACGATGTTCTACTTCCTCCACCTCCACAGCTCCTGCACAAACACCTCCACATTCCAGCTCCCCCCTGAACTCACCTCTACACTGGAAAGCCTCCTTGAGGCTGAGCAACACGTCAGCGAACCACCGTACGTCATTCACCAGCTGCATCACATACTCCGGGTCCACTCCCGGTGCCCCCATCAGGTGAGACGTTAGCCCCATGCTGCTCAGAGGATTGGGGTTCTTGGAGCTTCGGCCCATATCCCAGGTCTTGGTGGATCCGGCCGACAGAGATCCCGTGTGGGGCTTGGGGAGGTGTCGTGGCAGACCCTGGGTGTGCTCAGTCCCACTGCCACCACTGCTGCTGCTGCTCTTCCGTAGCATCCCAGCAGCCACTCCAGCAGCCACTCCAGCTGCCACCCTTTACAGGGAGTACAGCAAGCCAGCTAGCCCCTGAACACACCAAGCTGCCCTGGTCCCTGGTTGGCTGAAAGACAGAGGATGATGAGGTGAAGGTGATGTGTGTGAGTGTGGTCTCCTCTCCAAACTCACTAATATACTGTGCAACTGAATTGTTAAAGACCTGTAACACCCTCATAGTAACCACCAAAGCCAGAGGAGGAAGTAAGCTTAAAAATAAACAGCACATCCGTTTGACCTGTAAGTTAACTACATTATCACTTCACCATTCTTACAGTTTTCTTGTGTGGTATTTTTTAAATAAAACCTATGTCGTAAGTAAAACTAATGTAAAACTAAGTTTAGAGTTTACAGCTAACACATATTTTAAGGTCCCTTTTTTCTCCCATAAAAGTCATTTAATGTCTTAAAATGTTCTCTTTTGTGTCACAATTAGATTGTACATTACCTACAGTGGTTGTAAAGCTCAGCAACGTTTTGCTGTTAACGTTAGCTAGCGTGTTAGTGAAATAACGTTATGTGTCAATACAGAAAAGCACACTTTTTCAACAAAAAAAAGGAAGAAAATAATGAAAATATGCACATTTAGAAGAAAATAACTTAGAACAGGCATGGGGGGTATTTGCAAAACTTCAACAACATCGAAAACAACGCGACACTCAACATTTCTTTTTCCGGACAGTTTACTATGAAGAGTGATGCTGCTGCTCCGGTAAAAAAAAAAAAAAAAACTGTGACTCGGGTCATAAACTGCTTTGCTGGCACAGCCAAAAAAATAATTTCAAAAATAAAAAACCGCAATTTAAACTCACCTGCTCGGCAGTTTACTGACATAATGGCCACGGTATCCAAACAAAACTTTGCTTAATGGAGCCTCTGAAAACGCATGAGTATTTCCGTTAGAAAAGCCAAACTCCAACAACGGCCTGAAAGTTGTCCTCTTCGAGTCACTGTAACTTACATCGAAAACGAGCCTACAATCAGCAGCCTAGAGTCAATCGAAATTTACGAGTCGGGTTGTCACGTGATGGCACACACGCGTTATGATTGGCCAGATCCCCTCCACGGGAATTGGAGCTGTGATGCCTTCAAGTGCTGGCGGACGTTTTGGTTAACTCGTTGAACTAGGATTAGTTTTACATGTGCTTGCCGAGATAGTGTAATACATTTTTATTGGATGTGTATTAAATTTGAGAGGACTCTTCGAAAAAAGGATATTTGTAAATGTAACGTTCTGCCTCGGCTAAGAAAACATTTAACAAGCCTGTTGTTATCCCATTATCATGACATGTCAATTGAAACTGGATTGTTCGATGACCTCTGAATGTGCTGAAACCCTTTAAAATATATATTCTAGTAAATATAATAATCGGACTTTGGCAAGAGTATTAGACATGATACAAAAGTCCTGGTTTAAGGGTAAATAAATTAGCATGTCACATTTGTAACATTTGTGTGACACAAGTGCCACACCTTACATTTGTGTTGTAATGTACAGCATTGCCAAAATTCCTAAATTATGACGTTTTTTCCTCTTGGATTATTATATTGTACTGCAGTGGCAAAATTATTTGACACAGATGAGAAGCACTGAAAGGTTATTATTATTCGTGTTAGTAGTAGTAGTATAATTTGGACACATTAATTATATCATTTATGTATGTTTACACTTTTCAGACCATGGATGTATTGAGCGCATTTATTCTGTTTCTGTTCTGCAGTAAAGAAATTGTGATATTTTTGGAGCAAAAGCAAGCATAAGTCTTGCCAACAATTTCAGACCATATATCATCAGACCCAAACACAATTAAATAATGTCACTACTAGTTAGAATATAAAAGATCAGATCGTCAGGACAGATTAAGCAGATGTTTAAAGGAGTATATGAAAATTACGTTTAGGTGTTAGGGACAAAAAATACTGCTAGAGTACATTTTTATTAGATTTGTTCCATATCCAGGCAGGAAAAATGAAGCCTCATTAATCTGGTTCATTTACAGTTTTGATCAATGGGTATTCTCCCAGACAAATCAAATAATAAATCAAACCGAACTACTGGCACCACTGCTGCCATCTAGTGTACGTATGTAACCCTAGAAACACACACACACACACACAGTGCATTACAGACCCTGACAGAGTACGGTTTATCTTATCAAAACAGATTTCAATTACAAGAAAACTAAAGCACTCTAATATTGGCATTGTCCTTTTAATGAGATGATTTATGTTCTTAACTGGATGATACCAACTGTCAACTGGAAGCAGTGTTTTAGTTTTTATGTTGAGGTGGTGTTTCTGTAAAAGTAGTGAAACAGATAAACCAAAAAAAAACCAAGAAATTCATTTACATGGTTAATCAGTGTTTGTCTTTATTTTAATATACAAAAAGATGGATGTATTCTCATCTAGTTTATATTTCTAAGCATTTCAACTCACAGATAAAATTACCATTCATACTGTTTTAGTGAAACCAACCAACACACACTTCACACATCCACACACACACACACACTCTCATCACATAAACAGGGAAGGTCACACTACAAGAAATGAACAATATGTTGACTAAATTTAAAAAAAAAAAAAAAGGATTTGCTTTCACAGGATTCACACATGAAAAGGAAGAAACCCTTTACATTTGTCAAGTAAATATATACACGATAATTGATTTTTTTTTTTGTTTTTTTCTTTTTGAAGATGAGACTGACTCCATGTTAGTGTTACTAACGAGGTACTGCATGAGGTAACTGGTTTTTCTGTTCAGAAGAGCTGGGTGTAAGACAGCATTGGGAGGTAACAATCAATCACGGCAGATTTTCCTTTGTGATCGTTGTTTTTCTGGCACAATACGTGAAAGCACCTGGGTCACGTTCAGCTCACACACACAAATTCAACCCACAGCATTTTTTTTGGAGGCTCTTAAGTGTGTCCTCATCAGAACATGATCCAGGTGTGATGGGATGTACTTTATTGATCCGCAGAAGACGACTGCTAAGTCACAGCAAAGTTTAATTACATAAACTGATATCCAAGTGACTATTGCTGTATAATAAATATTGCTGGACCCTTGGACCACGCACATGCCACTCTTTACATGAATCGTAATGGGGCTGCATTATTAAAAATCAATCAATCATGTGGTTATAGACACATAGATGATTTCCAAACACTAAAAACATTGTTCTGTATTGATGTTTTTTTTTCCCACACGTTCTTTACCAAAACTGCACAGGAGCAAGCGTTACAGACCACTGTTAAAATCACCATCGTTCCACAGCACTATTCAAAGCACAACAGATGAGCCTGTGTGTCCAACGTGGCTAAACTATCACTGAACAAGTCTGAACATCACATCAGCGGGTTAATATTGAGGTAATACTGTTCAAACTGGCATTTTCCAGCAGGTGGCAAATCACAGAAGCCGCCAGCACCAAACCATCAGGGATATTTTTTTTGTTGGTTTTGTGGACCGTTTTTGATGATACACACTAAACTTTCTAATGCAAGTGCTACCTACACAGCTTCTGATCCAGAGGAACTGATACCATTATTATAGAAATCAGTAACACAACCACCATTCTTGAAAGAAATTGAAGAAAAAAGAAAAAAAAATGTATATATATATATATATATATAGATCTGTATATATACACATATTTTTTTGTTTTTAAATCACAGGGCTAGTTGTTAAAATGACTTAAATATGTAGAGGTGGAACTGAGAAATCCCTATCTGTTTCTGTGAAATGAGTAATGCCCTGATTTTGTATTTTTAAAAATCAGATCAGTGTTCGGCAACTGTGTGTACAGGTCTATTTACAAGAATCTGCCGCTCTTCTTTTAGGTTTGTACAGCATTAACACCGTGACAACTGGTCAGGCTCTATTAAAAAAAAAAGGGGGGGGAATAAATCGAATCTCCACAGACAAAGAGGCCCAACCGGCAATAAAATATCTCCACTACTAAAACACAATAAAATACATAACACAACTTGATATAATACATGTAGAAAAAGCCTGAGGTACTTGTCAGAATATCTGAGGTCAGTCTGGAGGAGTAAGCAGCTGAGGGCTTACCCGGTCAAAAAACACAAAAACAGAATATTAGCCTCACATAATATCATTAGCGTTATATTAACAAAGAATACATGTACATCTACAAATCCTTGAGTATCCTGGAATAGTCACAGCAGCATAACGGACATTCAATGTATGGTATTCATGTTATGGTACAACTATGGCATTGCATTTGAGACAAAGGCAACCATTTGAGCTCTCCTTGCATGATGTACAGTGACTGAGGTATCTGGGGACTGGTGTCCAACTGAGTCTATTGAACAAACACCCATGAAAATTAAAAACAGACATGTTGCTTACTCAAGTATGGCCCTCGCAAGGATAAACCTCAACTATCTGTCCATGGTTCTTACTTTAAAAACATGCTCTCTGTCCATCTTAAATCATTTAGTCTTCAAATTGTCTCTCTCTCTCTC